CCAAAAATGAGCCAGGGCACGGTGGTACATGCTTGCAGTACCAGCTACTTGGGAAACTGAGTTGAGAGGATTGTTTGTGCCTAGGAATTTGAGGGTTCAATGAGCCATGACCTTGCCATTGTACTAACTACAGCCTGGGCAACAGAGTGAGACCCTGCCTCTAGAAAAAAAAAAAAAAGAATTTTTTTCTTGAAAGTTTTGCAAGTAAGTTCATTCAAGCCTTATGAAATGAATAGTTTATATTTTATATAAACCATACCAAAGCACAGAAAAAAGTAGTATGCTCTCCTAGTATGTCTATCACAATAGTCTTACTGTAATAAGAAAAGCAAGAGCCCATGTTTAAATAATTAAAGATCAAATCTCATTATGCACATAGATGCAAAACTACTTAACCAATTAGTAAATCAAATTCAGTATCCCACTTTAAAAAATCACATTATTGCAAATAGCATTTACTTTAAATTTTACACTTTGAAATCTTTTTCAATGCACTATAAAAGATTAGCAAATTTCATTTGCTTACTAATTTATATTCCATATACATTAGCAATGAAATTCATATTCCTTATACATTGCTTAATGTATAAAAATATAAATTATTATAAATTATATATTATATATAAAATTATATTATGAATTTATAAAAATATAAATTATATTTTTAGGCTTAATGTATAATGAATATAAATTATTAATAAGCATATGAAAGATGCTGAATCTCGTAAGTAATCAAGGAAGCACAACTTAACACAGTTAACACCTTATTTCTCAAGCATGTAACTAGTAAAAATTTAAAAGTTAACAATATCAAGTATTTGCTAAAACTGTGGTGAAAGAGAACATCTATTTTACAAAGATAACGTAAACTTGTAAAGAAAAATTTTTTAACAAGGCAATCTGGTGCTACCAATCAAAATGTCAAATGTGTATACCATCTGACCTAGCAATCCCAATGCTAGGAATCTATTCTAAAGAAAAACTCACACATGTATAAAAGACAGACCTACAAGCACAGTTAATTACACATCAAGAGCACAAATGTTTAAGATAGGTCTGGAGCACCTACATCACATTGCAAGCAAGCTATTAAAGACTATTAAGGCTTCATTAAAGGTTTCATAAACCAACCTCATTCTGATCCCACTGGTCAAAGGTACCACAATTTCAGCATCAATAAGATATTCAAAGGACTGAAACATATCAAACAGGTTTTAAGTCCATGAGTTCAAACTGATTCTCCCCCAAAACTGGTCACCCTTGTTTTGAAAACTGGTAAATACAATAAAAGAATAAAGTATTTACCCTGTACTTCCAGTATGAACTGCACCCTGAGTAACTAACAAGTAAACAGAGAATTATTTTTCTTCACAGAAGTATTCCAGTCACTATAACCAAGGAGGAACGACTGACTTGAAGTATCATTTTACAAACCTTAATAAATGATATATCAAGACACTGAGCACAAATACCTGATAATACACCACCAGATAATCAGATATTAGTCTTCTTATAGGTGGCCTATGAACCTGGTCTATGAAGTAGTCCTGCACCATCATCGCCTTCCAAAGTGAAACCTGAATCTGATCAAGCCTCTATATCTAACAACCAATTTACAAAAATACAAGTGAGAGAGAAACATGTTAAACTACACCACAAGAAGAGATCAGCAAAACCCAGGTTTCTTCAACCTGGGGACAAAAGTAAATGAAAGAAGAGGGTTGAGAGATTTAAAAGATATACCTGAACTTAAATTTTTTTTAAATGCCAAAACTAAACTAAGGTGTTTAGGGGTACACATCTGGGTGATAAAACTACAAAGGAAAGCAAGAAAGCATTTGCCATAAAAATAAGAACCCTAGAAAAACACAGCAAACTGGATATATAAATGGCTTTAAAAAGACAAAGTCCTCTCTACCCACAAAAGAATAAAAGTTTTTAAAATATGTCAATATTTATCTATTGAATTCAGAAATCATCCTAAGAATATATTTCCAAGAAATACAGATAGGTCCAAGATTTGACCTATTACTGTGGCTAATTTATATTAACAAAAATGAAAAGAGTTATTTCTAACAAAAGTATAGTAATTATGGGGGCATTAATACAATTAAATATTGAATAGTCATTTAAAAATAAGAGCTGAGATTTGGAAAACCTAAATAATCCAATGAAATTAATTATAGGCATATCCGATGACTCATTAATTTCACTGCAATGTAGATCCCTAAAAGAAATGTGTGAACATATGTACCAAAATCCTTATGAAAGAATACTCAAAACAGCACTATTCATTATAGTCAAAAAGGAGAAACAACACAAATGTCCATTAAGTGATGAATGAACAAAGTGTGGTACAACCATGTAACAGAGTATTATTTAACCATAATAAGAAATTAAGTGTTGATACATGCTGCAACGTGAATGAATGAATGTTAAAACATTAGGCTAGGTGAAAGATGTCACAAAAGACATACATACATGTTGTGTGACCTGATTTATAGGAAGCTTTCAGAATAGGTAAATCCATAAAGACATAAAATAGACTAGTAGTTGACAGGGGCAGGGGAGAGGGGGAATTGGGGAATAAATGCTAATTGGTCCAGGGCTTCTTTGGAGCGTAAGAAAAATGTCCTAAAATGAGGTAGTAGTGATGGTTGTACAACTCTGTGAAAATATTCAAAATCATTGAATAAAACAATAAATAAGTCAGTCACTTTCACAAGTTTTCCTAAAAAGTAAAACATTTTATACACATAAATATAATGGTGCATGGAATGTTGTTCTTTACCAAGAGAGATAAGCATATAAAGGCCACAATTATAATCGGATTTACTTCTTCAATTGTACTGTGTTTCACTATTGGTTTGCTTCCTCAGATCCAGTATCCCAATTACCTCAATAATCAGCAGATTTTCTTCTATCTCAATTAATTCTTTATAAAGGTTCACACAGCAGATTTAAAGATCAAAGAGTATCAATTTATGAAATAACTAGAAATGGCAATCTGGTACTATGAAAGCGATTTAAAGTTAAAAGTGAAACAAATACTTTATTGCAATACTTCCTTAATCAGATAAATTATCATGGTATACAGGCCGGGCACAGTGGCTCATGCCTGTAATCCCAGCACTTTGGGAAGTCAAGGCAGGTGGATCACCTAGGGTGAGGAGTTCAAGACCAGCCTGGCAAACATGGTGAGACCCCGTCTCTCTACTAAAAATACAAAAATTAGCCAGGTGTGGTAGTGAGGACCTGTCATCCCAGCTACTCGGGAGGCTGAGGCAGGAGAATCGCTTGAATCCAGGAAGCGGAGGTTGCAATAAGCAGAGATCATGCCAATGCACTCCAGCCTGGGTGACAGAGGGAGACTCCATCTCAAGGGGAAAAAAAAATATCATGGTATAGAATTTACCATAAAAGTTTTAGTTTTGCTGTACATATCAGAATTTCTATTCAATGCCTACAATTTTAAAAAACAGCAGGGGAGGGAGCAGCAGTGAGGATCAACCTTATGAAAAAGCAACAGTAATGAGCTTCTAAATAACATGGTCAAAAGTGGGGTTTTTTTTGGGTGGAGGTGTGGGGATCTGAACTGCCTTCCACAAGCAAGGTATCAAACTCCCAGATCATTTAAGCATTCTGAACAAGAACTGGTACATACCTAATCTTACTCATGATACTTGTTCAAAAATGCTTGCAGATTTAGTTACTAGCATAAAAAAATTTTTTAGAGAAGTAAAGCTAGAGAGAAATATAATGGTAAAGAAGGCAAAGGCCAGGTGCGGAGGCTCACGTCTGTAATCCCAGCACTTTGGGAGGCTAAGGCAGGCAGATCACTTGAGGTCTGTAGTTCGAGACCAGTCTGGCCAACACGGCAAAACCCCATGTCTACTAAAAATGCAAAAATTAGCCGGGCATAGTGGCAGATGCCTGTAGTCTCAGCTATTCAAGAGACTGAGGCAGGAGAACCGCTTGAACCTGGGAAGCAGAGGATGCAGTGAACAGAGATTGCAACACTGCACTCCAGCCTGAGCAACAAAGACTTCATCTCAAAAAAAAAAAAAAGAATGAAAGCAAAGCAGAAACATAAATTCCTTAACCCACAGTGAAATAAAAGGCAAAATTAGGAGCCATAATATTATAATATTGTAGAATTTTCTAAATGTTTATTGTAGGAAGTTTTTGTTTTGTTTTGTTTTTCTTTTCAAGATAGGCTGATAAATGTAACATAAACTCTTTTTTTTGAGACGGAGTCTAGCTCTGTCACCCAGGCTGGAGTGCAGTGGCACAATCTCAGCTCACTGCAACCTCCACCTCCCGGGTTCAAGCGATTCTCCTGCCTCAGCCTCCCAAGTAGCTGGAATTACAGGTGCGTGCCACCATGCCTGGCTAATTTTTTGTATTTTTAGTAGAGACAGGGATTCATTGTGTTAGCCATGATGGTCTCAATCTCCTGACCTCGTGATCCGCCTGCCTCGGCCTCCCAAAGTGCTGGGATTACAGGTGTGAGCCACTGCGCCTGGCCATAAAAACTTTTTTAAAAAAATTATTATACTTTAAGTTCTAGGGTACATGTGTACAATGTGTAGGTTTGTTACATATGTATACATGTGCCATGTTGGAATATTAATATGTATATATCCTTCCAGATGATTCCATGAATCTACTACGTTCCCACTATGTAAATCACAAGAATAAGTGGGTATGAAATAATGGCATACTGGTATTCAAGCCAATTCTTTATAAAAGAATTAAGAAGAAATAGTTGTAAGTAATACTTGCTTCCATACAACAATTTAAGTAAGTATTACATGTCATATCTATGTGGACATACTGTTTTGGAACATTAAACAAATGTTCTGAATCAAATCTCCCAAAAATAACTGCACTGTTACTATGTAAATGAAGCATAAGATTTGGTACACAAAAATCAACTCATGAATAATAAAGTACTCATTAAAAAAAGGAAATAAACTTATAAAACTTAGTATGCTTACCTGAACCACCCAGGGGCTATTGGCAAAGGCCATAATATCTCTTTCTTCCCAAAAAAAGGCAGAATCTGATCTTTTTATCATTTCAAACTTACTAAGAAGCTTCATAGCATAAACCTTCTGTGATGCCTTATGACGAACCTGTTTTTTAAAAACACAAAAATTAATACTTCAATGTTATAAGAGAAAGGTAAATAGATGATACTATAACGCTATTATTAAAGACTTCAGTTACAAAAAAATGGTCCTTAGCTAATAAAAAGGAAAAGTAAAACATTTTTAATGAAAGAAACAAAGGAGAACATTTCTAACAACCTAAGTATTTCATGAAATATGTAATACTTTTAAACACTAAATTCAATATACAGCTCTCTCATTTCAACTAAATGAAGGTAAATTCATGAAGCTTCATTCTCTCATATTAGTCAAGCTAACCAATTTTAAGAATGAGATATTGTTAAATAAGAAACTTAAAAGATATGTCTACTGAAAAAAACCATTTACGTAAGTAGTCTGAAACATCAATGTACACATATCCCTCACTATCTGCCCATAAGAACTTAATAAATTTAGATATCAAGGGATACCTATGATTTTGTTAAGTCACTCTTATTTCTCTTTAGGTGTCCTAATTAAAGGTTTTCTTTTGTTTTATTTGTTTGTTTTAAGGAAAAAAAATACTACCAACGATGAGGTCCTTTGACCAATTCCTATGTTTCCGATTAGACTGCAAATTCCATAAATGCAATAAGATTGTCTAGTTTTGACCACCCTTTTAATTCCAAGAACATAGCAAACTGTCCACCAGGGAGCCAATAAATATTGAATGAATGATTATAACAGTTAACATTTATTGGATAAGTAACAACTGCTAACACTAATGCTTGGGTGTCTAACAGGATGCCTAAAACTGAAACTCCTAATCTTCACCCCTGAATTTATTCCTCTCACAGTTATTCCCCATTTCAGTAAATGGCAGCTTCATCCTTCTAGTTGCTCTCGCTAAAAAATCCTTTGACACCTCTTTTTCTCTCAAACAGCTTACCAAATTTATCAGTAAATCCTGTCAGTTCTACCTCCGAGTAGTTTCAGAATCCAACCATTTCTAACTACCTCCACTGATACCACCCTGGTTCAACATCTTTTATTTCAATTACCAACTTGTTTCCCTCTCTCTTATCCACAGCCTAGTCTCCATTCTGGAACACAAACCATTTCCTGTCACTCCTCTGCTTAAAACCTCCTTACAGCTTCCCATATCATCTCTGCATGTTCCCTCTGCCTGAAATCCTCCTGTAGCTGGTTCAATCCTTCACTTCCTTAAATCCCTGTTCAAATCCTGCCTTCTCAATGAGGTCTACTCTGATCAATCTACTTAAACTTTCAGCTCACTATCCCCTTCTACTGCCAGCATATTCCATATTCGCTCACCATCCTCTTCTGCTGCCAGCATATTCCATATTCCATTCTCTGTGTCATCTTTTTGCTACATCGCACTTATTACCATCTTACATCCCATTTTTAACTTATTTACCACCTACTTCTCAGCACCAGAATATAAACCCAATGAAGGCAAGGGTTTCTGCGTTTGGTTCAATGTTTAATCCCCATTGTCTAGTATAATGTCTGGCACATAATAACCTTTCAATAAATATCTGCTGAAAGAACAGATTTACTAAGTACTCGGCATGTGCCAGGCACTGTGTGTTCTGATACATATATTATTTTACTTAATCTTCATTCCCAGTGAGGATATTATTTCCCCATACTGCAAATGGGAAATGTGAGGCACAGAGACATTAAACTGCCCAAGGACTATATAGATAGTAAGTAGAATTAACTCAAGATGGATTAAAGACTTAAATGTAAGACCTAAAACCATAAAAACCCTAGAAGAAAACCTAGGCAATACCATTCAGGACACAGGCATGGGCAAAGACTTTATGACTAAAACACCAAAAGGAATGGCAACAAAAGCCAAAATTGACAAATGGGATCTAATTAAACTAAACAGCTTCTGCACAACAAAAGAAACTATCATCATAGTGAACAGGCAACCTACAGAATGGGAGAACATTTTTGCAATCTATCCAGCTGACAAACGGCTAATATCCAGAATCTACAAGGAACTTAAACAAATTTACAAGAAAAAAACAACTCAATCAAAAAGTGGGCGAAGGATATGAACAGACACTTCTCCAAAGAAGACATTTATGCAGCCAATAAACATGAAAAAAGCTCATCACCTCTGGTCATTAGAGAAATGCAAATCAAAACCACAATGAGATACCACCTCACACCAGTTAGAAAGGCGATCATTAAAAAGTCAGGAAACAATAGATGCTGGAGAGGATGTGGAGAAATAGAACACTTTTACACTGTTGGTGGGAGTGTAAATTAAACCACTGTGGAAGACAGGGTGGCAATTCCTCAAGGATCTAGAACCAGAGGCCAGGCGCGGTGGCTCACACCTGTAATCCCCGCACTTTGGGAGGCTGAGGCGGGCAGATCACCTGAAGTCAGGCATTCGAGACCAGCCTGGCCAACATGGTGAAACCACATTTCTACTAAAAATACAAAAATTAGCTGGGCACGGTGGTGCACGCCTGTAATCCCAGGTCCTTGGGAGACTGAGGCAGGAGAATCGCTTGAACCCGGCTGGCTGAGGCTGTAGAGTGAGCCAAGATTGCACCACTGCACTCCAGACTGGGTGGGGAAAAAAAAAAAAAAAAAAAAGATCTAGAACCAGAAATAACATTTGACCCAGTAATCCCATTACTTGGTATATACCCAAAGGATTATAAACCATTCTGCTATAAAGACACATGCACACGTATGTTTATTGCAGCACCGTTCATAATAGCAAAGACTTGGAACCAACCCAAATGCCCATCAATGATAGACTGGATAAACAAAATGTGGCACATATAGACCATGGAATACTATGCAGCCATAAAAAAGGATGAATTCATGTCCTTTGCAGGGACATGGATGAAGCTGGAAACCATCATTCTCAGCAAATTAACACAGGAACAGAAAAACAAACACTGCAGGTTCTCACTCATAAGTGGGAGTTGAACAGTGAGAACACATGGACACAGGGAGGGGAACATCACACACCAGTGCCTGTCAGGGGGTGAGGGGCTAGAGGAGGGATAGCATTAGGAGAAATGTAGATGATGGGTTGATGGGTGCAGCAAACCACCATGGCACATGTATACCTATGTAACAAACCTGCACGTTCTGCACATGTATTCCAGAACTTAAAGTATTGTAACAATAATAATAAAAGATTTAAAGGTAATCTGCAGGTAGAATCTATATTATTTCTACACATGTTATGCACACAATTAGGATGATTTTCCCAAACAGGGCTAGATTACATCTGCCAACCCAGTATTCCATCCAGTTGGTGTTCCTTTTTATTCAGAGTACGCCAGTTTTTGTACAACAAATTATGTGGTTACACTATTCAGGGATGGAAGAAGATAAGAAGAAATCAAGATCCTAACCATTGTCTACAGGGTCCTATGTCCACCTTCCCAGCTTAAATCTTGTCATTTTCTTCCCCTTGTTCATACTTCAGACACACTTATCTTCTCTCAGTTCCTCTAATACAACAAAACTTTCCTCAGGATCTTTACGGGTACTGGAAAGGTATTTAAAAACCCAACATAGGCCGGGCGCGGTGGCTCAAGCCTGTAATCCCAGCACTTTGGGAGGCCGAGACGGGCGGATCACGAGGTCAGGAGATCGAGACCATCCTGGCTGACACGGTGAAACCCCGTCTTTACTAAAAAAAAAAAAAAATACAGAAAACTAGCTGGGCGAGGTGGCGGGCACCTGTAGTCCCAGCTACTCGGGAGGCTGAGGCAGGAGAATGGCGTGAACCCGGGAGGCGGAGCTTGCAGTGAGCTGAGATCCAGCCACTGCACTCCAGCCTGGGCAGCAGAGCGAGACTCCGTCTCAAAAAAAAAAAAAAAACCCAACATAGTACCTAATTCAACTACTCCCATAAGGACACTACCTCCTTATCCATTCAGTTTAAATATAAAACTCCTCAAAGAGATCTTCTCTGACCACCCTAACTAAACTAGGAACTCACTGTTCTCAACCATAGAACCCTGTTTGTTTTCTTCCTGGTAGATACCGTAATTTTTAATTTATGATGTTGTTCCTTTGTATTTATTGCCCGTCTCCCATAGTGGAATGTAAATTCAACAAGGATGGGGATTATGCACATCTATTTTGTTCTCCCTTATACTCCTAGTGCCAAGTACAATGCCAGCAATGGCAATAAAACAGGCACTCACTGAATATTTAATGACTGAATTAATATCTGCAAAAATTTATTTTACAAGTGGCCACACCATTAATTTCCAGTTTTAAAAATGATTCAGGGCCGGGCGCAGTGGCTCACACCTGTAATCCCAACACTCTGGGAGGCCAAGGCAGGCAGATCACAAGGTCAGGAGATCGAGACCATCCTGGCTAACACACTGAAACCCCGTCTCTACTAAAAATACAAAAAAAAATATAGCCGGGCGTGGTGGCGGGCGCCTGTAGTTACTCAGGAGGCTGAGGCAGGAGAATGGCATGAACCCGGGAGGCAGAGCTTGTAGTGAGCCCAGATCGCACCACTACACTCCAGCCTGGGCGACAGAGTGAGACTCAGTCTCAAAAAAAAAAAAAAAAAATCAGCAGGTAATATTTCTAGTTATCTTTTGTCAAATAGTATCCACATGTACAGTTAATACTTACATTGATGAAAATAAGGTAAACCAAAGATATGGTAGTGTCTTCCCCAGAGGAGACAGGGAAGAACCATGACACTTACTAGATACTCTATAAAGTGCAATAAAATTTTAGAAAATCATTAAAATGCTATGCCTCTTTAATAGAGAAAGTTTTGTTCCCCCTCCAATAAAAGCGAGGTACAAAATTTTATTTGGGGAGTGGGTTTGAGCAAATCACTAATGGAAAATACAAGTAAGTCTCAGGATGACACAATAAATTTATATACTCAGAATCATGCACTTCTGGCTATGACGAAGTAATTGGTACCAGCTAGCCCTCCCATTGTAAACAACCATCAAAAATGACAAAACACACGAGGCAACTGTATTCAGGTTTCGTAAAAT